GTTTGGTCGATGCTTTCGCTCGTGGTCTCCGAAGTTTCTGGGGCTCGGCTCTCTTTCTCTCTTGGCCCCCCCGATGATAGAGATGGCGATGGAGATGATGTCTCTCACGCCGGCATCACCAGGGGGCGCTGTCCCTAGTGCCCGGCCCAGCAGCCGGCGCAGCCCGCTACGGGCCTCTCCGACTTCTCGTCCAGTACGATGGAGTCTTGCGCAGCCGTGACCGCCTGGCAATCCTCCAGCGTCAATGGGGTCGGCACCTCCCGCCACCACTGTGGCGTCGACAGGTTGATCGCCAGGTGCTTGCTAGAGAGGCGCTCGCAGTAGTAGACCTTGTTTCCGAGAGTTGGGAGCCCGAGCCGGTTTCGTCCGCAGTCGACCACCACCTTCAGGTCGTCGGTCAGGATGTCCATGCCCAGCAGGATGGGCACGCGGTTCGCCATCACGGAGAGGCTGATGTTCCGCAGCTTGGGACCCAGGAAGGCCTGACCGGTTACTGATCCCATCGAGCTCTTCTGTAGGCCGTCCCCGAACGTGAAGGAGCAGATGTCGTCGTGGGCGTCGAACTCCACGTCGTGGTTGACCAGCATCTCGTACATCAGGTTCTCCACGCTCTCGAGGCCGCCGAGGCTCCGTGTCGCGCCTATGTCCAACACGGCCCGGATGCCATCCCGCTCCAGCAGGTACACGTACCCGTCCAGCGCCGACAGGATGAAGCCATTGTGGGTGGTCCCTGTGTTCCCGCCGGCCTGGTTCCCGACCTTGTTACGCTCGGGGCAGTCCCGAGCCCTGTGGCCGAACTGCCTGCAGACGATGCACTTCGTCTTGCTCAAGTCACGCGTCCCTTCGAAGCGTACTCGCCGATCCTGTTATTCACGTCGACGCCCTTTGGCTTGTCCGCGTGGCCGTCCGTCCGCGCGAGGCCGTGGTGGCGGGGTGAACCGCTTCTCCGCGCCCTCGTCTCTCGGGACCGCGACCGGGTAGTAGTCCCTCGCCACCCGTACTTGTCGAAGTAAATCTCGAGCATTCTTGAAGCTCCTTCCAGCCTGGCGAAACTGAGCGAACACCTCGTTGGCCGCGTCAAGGTCGGCAGGCTCGTCCTCGTCATCGTCCTCCTCAGCTAGGTTAATGAGCTGCTCGGCCATCTCGTAGATTTCGTCGGCTTCTCCACCAGTCTCGTACTCGTCTTCCTCGGCATCGTTCTCGAACATGGCCCGCTCGCGCTTTGTCTTGCCGTCCAGCTCTGCCAAGGCCTCTGCCGGGATTCGCGTGAGCAAAGTTTTGTAGGTCTTCGCAAAGTTGAAGTCCCCGCCTGCCGTCGCCGTAACTTCTCTTTCAAAGTACGGGAGCGAGCCAGGACTTCCTGAGGAACCACCAGGTGCGTAGTGGCTTCGAAATCAGTTCTTGAAGTCGGCGTCGATCGCCTGGAGTTGCGTCAGCAGCTCCCTCTCCTTCGTCTCGAACCTGGCGGCCCAGTCCTGGAAGGTCTCGCCCGAGTTGCTACCGATCTTCAAGAAGAACTCCGCCAGCAGGCCGGTGTCGTTTAAGCTCGTATAGTCTAGCTTCTCCAGCACATAATCGAAGACCTCCTTCCAACCGACCAGCCTGCCGTCGTCGTCAACTCGATCCACGCCGTCGATCGCGGGGCAGCCCTCCACGGCGTTGCGGACCCGAGGCCCCAGGGCCCGCACCAGCTGCGGCCCACAGATGTAGCGACCGCTCAGCCGGGCGCTCTCCACGGACATCGAAACCTCGAAGCGATAGCTTGACAGCTTGTCTGCTTCGCCAGTCCAGGATGGGACCTCCACTCGAGCGGACGTCGTGGTCCCCGTCGAAGACGCCATCGTACCGAGACTGGTGGAAGTCCGTGGTGTGACAACCACAGGCTCTGGTACCAATATGAATCCCAAAGAGCCTCAAGAGGTCCTCAATCACGCTGATGATGTAACCTCGCTCCTTGGTCCAAAACCTGAAGATAAATAATATGATATCTGTCCACACAGGATGTGCAGGGCACCTCCTGCCCTCCTCGTAATATAACCACTCGTGGCCATACGTCGCGAGCTTCAGCTGAACTCAGCTGTGCTGTATGAATGTTACCCACCCGCCCACTAGCCTGGAACCAAGTGGGCGGCGGCACGGACACGGCGGATGCACAAACACAACGACAGAATGGGTATGAACGAATATGAAATATGAAACTTCTGCGTTGCATTCAGAGAGGGGGGGGGGGGGGGCAGGGGGCGCGGGCCAGAGAAGGGGCCGCGAGATCTGCTCCTGGAACCGCCGCGAGCGGGCGGGCCCGCCGCGGTCTCGGTGAGCTCATATCTTCCGCGTGCCCAGAAGCGCGGATGGAATGGTTTCATGACCGTCAGCCTGGGAACTTGTCGGAGCGAGGCGTAAGAACATGCTCGGTTGGACTGAGCGCGGGATGAAACATCGGCGAGGACGGATCCTGGGAAGGGTTTGAGGACCGATCGCACCTTCCTTTATGCACGCTGCTTCCAGCGCCAGGAGGCGCTGGGGAAACCGGAAGCATGTCGACAGTACTCTAAACCCACATTTGCTTTCCCTTTTCAGTTTTGATCATAGTCTAACCGATCATCATCTCCACTGGGCCATGGTTTCTCAGCCCCCACAGGCCCCCCCCCTAGGTGGAGACAGGTCCCACCCAACCCGAAGGGAACAGCACGTATCCCCACGTAGGGGGTTAAGGCGGCTAGTGGGGCCAAGGCCATGCCAGTGGGGATGGGAATCGGTTGCGACCGGAGCGTGGGTACCGAATGTTCTGCGTTATTTTGTGTTCTTGTGTAACCTGGGGAAGGGTGCCCTCGAATGCTCTTCAGTTTGGCAGCTTTGTTTGTTCGCTCCAGGAAGGCTGGGGTTTCGGGCCATGCCATTCGGTGTTCACCGCGGCTTCCTCAGCAGGCCAGGCAGTTCAGGTCGCGTGACTTCTGGGAGAAGGGGCCCTGGTCGACCTGATGTTTTGGGATATTCTGCTGGCAGAGGGGCTCTCAGGCGACTGCGAGCACCGCACCAGGCGGCAGCGCGGCAGGCTGCGCGGCACCGCTTTCAGGCGACTGTGCGAGCGCATCTCCGGAGATTGGACACACCAGCAATGGACATGCGCGTGCGCCTCAAGTTGGGGCTCCTTCGCCGTTCTCCTCCAGGCCATGCCCCACGCGTCGTGGCCAGCAGGTTCTTGGAACGCGTCCCACTGTTGCGGAACCAGGTCCCGCCGAGAGTGCGCGGCTGTGTTTCGCAGCGCGTGGAACGGATGGTGCACCGCACGGCGGTTTCAGCAGCGCGATGGCCCACGCAATTTCTGCATGCTTGGTTGTGGCGGGATGGCGCAGGACAGCTTGGAGCACTACGCGAGGTGCCGGGTCGTCTGGCGCGCCCATGCCTCCGTGCTGAACATCACGGATGAATGGCTTCTCCCGTGGTGGCTTTGCGTCCACGACAACCAGCGCATCGACCGACTGCTGGCATTGGGGGCGATTGGCGCCTACGCCACGTATCGCGCCACGAACGCAGCCCGTCATCAAGGTGGATTTTCGGCTGCCGACGGCGAGCGGGCGCTGCAGCAGTCCATCCGCGAGGCAGTTGGGGGCCATGCCAGGGCCGAGAGGGTCGTGGCCGATGTCTGGCGCCACCGATTGGGGGCGCGGCGATGACCCGAGCGGCCTCGCAACAGAGCGCCGGCGGTCTCACCTGCCGCGGCGCTGGCGGCTCCTGCGCGCCGGGGGAGGCGTAGAGTCATGAAGTCATGCCTCGGCGCCGATGGTGTGTTCGTTGTCTCCGCCATGGGCGCGGGCGTCCTGGTCCCCGGCTCCACCGCAGTTTATTGCCCGTCTGACCCTTCTTTACCAGGGGGCGGGCTGTTCGCGTTGTTCCTGGGATACTCATTCTCCGACCTCGTCTGAATGTGCTTGCCGCAGCCCAGGCTGCGCCTGCCGCCGTCTGTCGGTGGATTATGCCGCGCCTGGTTTCCTCTGCTCCTCCCCGTCCTCCTCCTCCTCCTCCTCCTCCTCCTCCTCCTCCTCCTCCTCCTCCTCCTCCTCCTCCTCCTTGCCCTACCATTTGTGGATTACGACGGCAGCGCAGCTTCCACTCCAAAGCCCCGCGGCTGGCAGCCAGGCGGCGAACGCCCAGGGTGGCACATTTTCAATCCCAAGCTCTCTGCCGGCGCACTTTAGCCCTCTATCGTGTCGCGGCTTCCGCCCACGATCGTGTCACGGATTCGGTGCGGCAAGGACCGATTCCAGGGCTACTACAGATCTTCGGGTGTCTCTGAGGCCTGCTTGGGCGTTCAATGTCAGACTGCAGTGGTTTCGGCGCCCTGCCCTGTTTTGACCGGGTCACCGGAGGCGGCCGTTCAGGCTTCCACTGGGCCTCCTCTCTCGCCCCCCTCCTCCTCCCCTCCGCTCCCCTGCTCCCTTCCCCCTCTTTTCAATTGCGCGCCAGCCGGTCAAGGCAAGGCCGGTTGGACGGCACATCCGGGTGCACGACGCTCGGCAAGGGCGACCCCCTCCCTTCCCCTTCTGGCCCTCCGACCTCCCCCGCTTGTTGTTCAGTGTTCCTCCCCGATGTCGGCGTTCAGATTCTGTGCACTTCTAGCTTGCAGGTTGTTTTTTGTTTATTTGTTGGGTGGCGTTGCGCCGGAGGGTGCTCTACTTTCGTGCGCACGCCATCGGTTCGCTGGCCAGTCGCGTCCGCGTGGGCGGCGCCGGCGTTCCGCCAAGCGTGTTTGCCGGGCGCCTCGCCCCGTCTTTCCCGGTTCGCCGCGGTTGGCCTCCGCGCGGGCTCGTGCTGCTGCCCCTCTGGGTCGGTGTTGCCCCTCTTTTTTCCTCCCCTCCTCCCCTTCCCCTCCTCTCCTGCCGCTCCCACTGGGTGTCTCACATTCCGTTTCATTTCGAATTCCTTGATTGCGATCTGTTTCAGTGTTGCCGACATTTCATGATTTGGCCCTTCTGCTTCGGCAGGAGGCGCTGTGCAGGTAGTCTGTTCTGCTTCGTCTGCTTCCGCCCTGGTCGTCCTTTCCTCATCGGGTTTCGCTCTTTGCTTCTGTCCGCGAGAGAAAGGGTGCGAGTGCCGCTGGCAAGGCCAGGTGAGCGTACGCACGCGCGGGATCGTGTTTCGCTCTTTGCTTCTGTCCGCGAGGGAAATGGTGCGAGTGCCGCCGGCAAGGCCCGGTGAGCGTACGCACGCGCGGGGCTCCGCTTCTTGTTCCTGTCTTGTCGCTCTCTCACTATAGTGCAACGGTGTTTTAAGCAAGGCGCATATTGCGCTCATCCGTTTCACTTCGTCGGGCCGGGTGCAGAGAAGAGCGCAGGTCTCTGAGTGGTCTTCGTTATGGACAGAAAAAATGCTGGCAGAGGGGCTCGTGTTCTTGTAGTATGTTATTATGTCCCTGTTCCGATTGTAGGGGCATCGACATCCAACGTCGCGTCCCGGACGACGTCACGCTGCCACTTTAGGACCACCAGCCCCAGCTGCTTTGAGCGCCTTCCTGCTTCAGATTTCTGCTTGCTTCTTCCGACCGACGCGTGTATGCTTCTCCCATTCCCCCCACCCAACGCCCCCTCCCCCCAGTGGGGGTCCGCAAAAGTCCCCGGAGGCCCGGGTCCCTGGAGGTCCAAGCAGGCTTCTGGAGGCCCGCAGAGGCCAGCAACGTCTAAATTGTAATTCTTCCTCGGCTCGGCTCGGAATCAGTAGATGAAGTTCGGAAGTTGCACTGGACGCGCATGCGCACACGGGGGAACAAAGCAAGGCGAACAAGACAGCGGCCTCAGCGGGAGAAGCGGACAAGAGAGAAACATATAGAGAGAGAGAGAGAGACTAGCCAACTGCCTCTTCCTCCTCCTCCTCCTCCTCCTCATCTTCCTTCTCCTCTTCGACGCCTGGGACAGGCGCAGGGAATCCGGCTCGATTTCTTTCGGGTTCTCAGCTTCCTCTTGCCGGGTCAGGCCCAAGGAGGCAACTTTGCTGGGCAGAGGTTCGAGCCCTCTATGTACCCTTGCCCCTTGCCGTGCTGCGGCCACATGCCTCTTCGTGGAAATCAGGTTGCAGCCTTGGCATAACATTACCCTCATACGAGTGGGCGGTCCCTGCCAGTGCCTGTTTCCACAATCGATCGTTGGTGACAGGGTGTTTTGACACCAGGGGTGTGTTCATCTCAGTTGTTGTGACGCCACCTTTCGATCCCTGCGAATGCTTCGGGGGCAACATCCTTCATTCATTCCTCCTCATCCTCCCTTTCCTCCTCCCCTTCTTTCCTCGCTTCCTCTGCCCCTCCCCCTGCGCCTCCCTCTGCCTCTCCCCCTGCCCCTCCCCCTGCCCCTCCCCTTCTTCTTTCTCCCTCCCTCGGGCCGCTCTGCCGAGCTGCCGCAGACCTGGGAGCCACCATCGTGCCCCAGCGATCGCACCCTCTCCCCCCAACCCTCGGGAGCCTTTTGGGGGCCTTCTGGGGCCTGGCTTGGGCCTCTGGGGGGCCTCCTGAAGTTTTTAGGGGGCCTCTTTGGGGGCCTGCTGGCGGTCTCTCGGGGGTCGTCTTGGGGCGGGGGGCGGATGGTTCGAGATTTTGGTTCGTGCTCCCTGTCGGGGGCCTCTCTGGGGCCCCTCCCTCCCTCCCTCGCTCCTGTGCATCTGCGGGCCGCCCTCCTGCCTCCTCGGCGCAGAAGAAGCACGCGGGTCGAGTGCTGGCGGCGCGCAGGCCACGATGTTCTCGACCCTCACTCCTCGATAGCCTCCCCGGGCGGCAGGTCGCGCCAGCAAGCAGCTGAAGTAGCAGGACGAAACAGCAACAGCGAACGGCAGGAGCGCGCAACACGAAGCAGGCAGCGGCAGCGGCAGCGGCAGCGGCAGCGGCAGCGGCAGCCCACAGCAAGCAGCAGCAAGCAGCGGGCAGCAGCACCGATCCGCGAGTCTCCTCCCTGCCAGTCGCTGCTTTGTTTTGCATGTGGTGTCTGACATCGGGACGGCTGGTGTCTCTTCCTTTCGGCCTCTGGAGGCCGGCTGTGGGCCCCAGGACCGTCAGAACACGGCTCGGGATGAAAAGCGGGCCCCGAGAAACCGGTGGAGAGGTCTGGGATCTGCGCCTCGAAAGCATCGAGGCGCCGAATGCCCAGGCCCCCAGTAGAGCAGCTTCTCATCCTGGGCCGTTTCTGGACGGTCCCAGGATCTGGTGCAAGGGCCCCCTCTGGGGGCCGAAGACTGCCAAGAACCTTGAGGATGTCAGGGCTCCTCCCTCACTCCCCCTCCCCCACTGTCCCCCGAGATCCGACGCTGCGAACAGAATTGCAATATTATGGAAAATCACGGCCGGGGCCACAGACCCCACCTTTCTGCGGCGTTCCTTGAGCTGGATGTGAGGGCCCTGGGGCCCAAACACTGGCCGAAAACGTTCAGCGTACACAAACTTGCACTGCCCGGGACCAGCTTTTCATCTGGAGTCGTTCTCTGACGGTCCCGAAGGCGGGCGAGGGCCCCCAGAGGCCGCAGACAGCAAACCCCTCCCCTCCGCCCCCCGGTGCGCCCGCGACCTCCCAGAGGGCCCCGCCCCCGCGGCGCCGCCCCCTGGCGCCCCGTCGCGGCCCCGCGCCAAGCGCTAAGGAGAGGCGGGCGCATGGCTGGCGGCGGGGGCCGCCGCCTAGGCGGGTCCGCTCCGTGCCGTTCGTGTCCGCGTCGGGCAGGGGTCCGAACCGATCTGGCGTCAACGCCGTCGTTCCATGCCTCCCACATGGGGCCGGAAGCTGTTGGGAGTTTCCGGGAATTTTGGAACGCTTTTGAACGTGTTCGGAAGTTAACGAGCGGGTCCGAGAGGATTGGGTCGGAGGATCGCGCCGCATCGATGCATCGCCAGAGCATCGGCGATACATCGGCGATTCTGCGCCATCCTCCAACCCAATCTAGACGGACCCCATCTCGGGGGAAGCCTCCAGTCGTTCTCAGACATCCGACGTTTTGACAAAAATCCGAGGCGGATGTTCTTCGTCGTTTTCGGCCTCTTGGGCCGTCTAAGAATGATTCACAACGAGATCCTGGCCCCGTGCAAAGGATCGGGACTTTCCAAGAGCTCCGCGTTGAAAAGATCAAGGCGTCGGACGTCTATGATTGGGAAGCAGTTTTTTCGGGTGCCTCAGGAGGTCCTCGCCACCATGGCTGGGCGCTGGCATTTAAGCCGGGGGCGGTTCCGCTGATGGCGGCCGGCGGAAGTGAGACCACGCCTATATAGATCTCAGCGCCGGCGTTCTCATGGCTTCCAGAGTCGGCCATGTGCCCTGGAGGATCGACGTGGGTACGGGAAGAATAGTGACGAAGACCGACAGCGATTCTTGCCCGTTTTGATCAGGGTTCGAGGTCGGTGTCGCCGCGGAAGTGGTCCATTTGTGACAAAGCGGCGCCTGTCCAACAGCGGACCCTGCTGGCTCTGGGCAACATTTGTTGCTGGGCATGGTGCCCGTGCTTTCCGTGCCAATATCGGGCGTGCCAAGTGGAGCGGCAGCGTGCAAGAGCAGTTTGGGTCAGTCTGCCAGGGGTCTCAAAGCCGTGTCGTGACAGACCGTCCGATGACCCCCGAAGCCCTGAAGGCGTCACCAGACGGTCCGTCACTGGATGGTCTTGGGACTCTGGAGCCCCAGGGCGTTCGAGGCGTCCTCGAAGCACGACCCACGTCCCCAAAAAGGGGTCCTTGAACTCATCAGAAGTCTCCGCACTGTTTAGGGACCTCTGTGTCTGTAGTCCGCCCTTGGGTGGCATGTGTTGTTGCTGGCTTCGAATTCAGCCCTTGAGCGGTCAGCCCGTAGGCCTTTAGCTTCGTTCGTGGACGAGGGTTGAAGTGAGTTGTGCTGTTGACCTCCTCCTTCCTTTGCACCTCATTTTTGCTGGCAGGCGGTGATGCCCTACGGCAAGGGGACCGCTGAGGAGCCTCGGGGCGGCTACCAGCTTCGGAGAAGCAGAAAGAGGAGGAGGAGGAGGAGGAGGAGGAGGAGGAGGAAGACGAGGAGGAAGACGAGGAGGAAGACGAGGAGGAGGAAGACGAGGAGGACGAGGAGGAGGAGGATGATGATGATGAGGAGGAGACGGAGGTGGTGGAGCTTCGCTGCGGCCAAAGTCAGATTGTCGGACGAGAAGCTCTGGGGTGACCCCCTCGCATGAAGATCTCGGCACCCCACGACTTGGGGGCGCAAGCGAAAGTGCCTCTCGGCAGGTTTCGGCGCACGGCCGCATCACGGCGGTGTGATGCAGCCAAAGTTGTTTAAAGCATTGAGTGCTCTCGGCGCTGGTACAGGAAGAGATACGGGAGCCGCGACAGGAGACCAGCGCTTGCGAGCATGCTCCCTCCAGGTCCGCTGGGCAGCTCGTGGGGGCAGATCCCGCGAATGAGGGCCACCCCACAGAGACCAGCACGCGAGAGGCCTCAGCCCAGTGGTACACCTGCCCCCAAGGCGGGTAACCGCGTTCAGGCCACGGTTACCCCTGCACAGAGCGACTCAGACCAGCACACGAGGCCGCAGCTCAGCGGCACACCAGCGTAGGACCCTGAATTGGTAACCGCGTTCAAGCCACAGTCACCCCAAGTGACACGGTCGAGGAGGACGCGAAGGAGGAGGAGGAGGAGGAGGATGCAGGTGCTCGTAACCATTTGGCGCGCTCCAGCATGGGCCTCGCTTTCGAAGATCGCAGGAGTTGACACTTCTGCCTCGGTGGAAGGCGGTCGCAGAAGGCGGGCGGAAGCCAGCGGACGCGAAACGGGGGCGGCGCCGCAGGCGGGAGGCTGGCGGAAGTCGGCGGAAGCAAAACATGCCCCGCCCGTGGTCTCTGTGTCGTCGGCGTCGCACCGGCGTGGCAATGGCGCCTCCAAGAGATGCAAGAGATGCCAACTCTTATGGATCCAGATGTCATGGAGGCGGGCATTTTGGCTCAAGCCGCCCTCAGCGGCCTCGGCGGAAGCCCGCTACCCCACCCTTCCCCCGCGCCCGCGACCGCGCCCAGCGGGAGGCGACCGCCGCGGCACCCGCGATGGCGGCCACCGCGGCCGCGCCAGTACGCAAGAGCGTGTCGTCGGCGCCCCTGTCGGTCGGCGAGCGGGTCACCGTGGGCAGCATGCAAATCAGGGGCGTCCTGAAGTTCTCGCGGGTGCAGAAAAATCAACTTTTGGAGCTCCGCGTGGATTTCTTGGATCGGCGCTCGGCCCCCCCATGGCAGCGCCTCCGGCGCCGCCCCTAGCGCGCTTCGCGCGCCAGGTGCGGGGGTCCAGTGCCAGTCCAAGAAGTCCACGCGGACCTATGACAGTTTATGATTATGCATTGTTTTCTTCTTCCAGGTTCGCCGGGGAGACTGAATTCGCTGAGGGG